CGACACGCTACCGGAGTGGACGGGGCGCATCAAGGTCAGCGGCGACCTGCGCGTGCGCGGCCAGGCCGAGTTCTTCGACAAGGACGCCAACCTGCCCGCCGAGGTCTACCGCTCGCAGACGGCCTCGCCCGCCTGGTCGCCCGACCTGACGAACACCAGCACCGACCGCCAGCGCCTGACACTGCGCGGCCGCCTCGAAGTGGACGCCAGGCTCAGCGACCAGGTGCTGGCCAGCGTGCGCCTAGCCACCGGCAGCACGGGCAACAGCGCCACGTCCACGTCGCAGACGCTGGGCAACGACTTCAACCGCTACACGCTCGGCCTGGACCGCGCCTACATCCGCTGGCAGCCGCCGTTGTTCACCAACGGCCTGTCCGCGGACTTCGGCCGCATGCCCAACCCCTTCTTCAGCACCGACCTGGCCTGGCCCGACGACCTCGGCTTCGACGGCGTGGCTACCAAGCTCGTGCACGCCTTCACGCCGCAGCGCAGCCTGTTCGCGACGGCCGGGGTCTTCCCGCTCGAAGAGCTGAACCTGTCCACGCAGGACAAATGGCTGCTGGGCGCGCAGGTCGGCGGCGAGATCGACCTCGCACGCGGCGTGCAGTTCAAGCTGGGCCTGGCCGCCTACGACTTCCGCCACATGGAAGGCCGGCGCGAAAGCACCCCGCCACCCAGCGGCCCGCGCAGCGGCGCGACGAACTACTTCGCGTCGCAGTACGCCGCGGGCCTGCGCCTGAAGGGCAACACCCTCATCAACCTGAACGACCCGACCAGCACCGCCGCGCCCACCTGGGGCCTGGCCGCCAAGTTCCGCGCCGTCAACCTGACGGCCAGCCTGCAACTGGACGGCGTGCTGCCGGTGCCGGTGGGCCTGACGCTGGACTGGATCAAGAACACCGCCTTCGACCTGAAGGACATCGAGGCCCGCGCCGGCATGCCGCTGACGGACCTGAAGGACAAGACGACGGCGCTGCAGGCCCGCGTGCAGGTCGGCGCACCGAAGCTCTCGCGCCGCGGCGACTGGCAGGCCTTCACGGCCTGGCGCCTCGTGCAGCGCGACGCGTGGATCGACGGCTTCACCGACACGACCTGGCACCTCGGCGGCACCAACTACAAGGGCTGGAGCCTGGGCGGCAACGTCGGCCTGGACAAGAACTTCTGGCTCAGCGGCCGCTGGACGAGCACGCGCAACCTCGACGACGGCGTGCGCTTCCTCGCCGTGCCGGGCGACCCGTCATCCTTGAGCGGCAACCTCAGCAGCGCGCCGCTGCGCATCGAGGTCTTCCAGCTCGACCTGAACGCGAGGTTCTGAAAATGAAGCGCATCGCCCTTGCCCTGATGCTGGTTGCGAGCGTCGCCGCGCAGGCCCAGGACGCCAAGCCATCCAAGGAACGTGAAGCCCTGCGCCGTGCCCAGGCCGCGCTGCGCGCCGCGCAGGAGCAGCAGAGCACGCTGCAGGCCGACAAGGCCAAGGCCGAAGCCGATGTGGCCGCCGCGCAGAAGGACGCCGCCAGCGCCAAGGCCCAGATCGCCGGCAGCGTCGCCAGGCTCAAGGCCCGCGAGGCCGAGCTGGACACGCTGCGAGCGCAATTGCAGGCGGCCAAGGACGCACAACAGCTGGGTGAAGCCAAGGCCATCGAACGCGAGCAGGGCCTGCAGCAGCAGATGCTGTCAGCCCGCCAGGAAAGCGCGGCCCGCCAGCAGGCCAACCAGGCCCTGACGCAGCTGCTGGAACGCAGCACCACGGCCCTCGCCGACGCCGAGGCCAAGAACCGCCAGCTCTACGCCATCGGCCAGCAGTTGCTGACCCGCTGGCAAGGCCGCGCGCCGCTCGACACCGCCCTGCTTCAGGACCCCGTACTGGGCCTCACGGCGGTGCGTTTCGAAGATCAGGCCGAGAAGCTCCGCGCCGAACTGGCGGCGCAACGAGTCCCGCGCTGAACCTGACGGCCCGTTGCTCAACGCGGCAGCGGCGAGCGTTCTGACAAACACGGGGCCTGGCCCAGGCTTCTCGCACCCCTATTGCTGAATGGCGGACCGGCCCGCGGGATGCTGGCGGTGGTTGCGGCGTCAGAAAAGACTGTCGCTAAGCGGAAATCCCGATCGGTTGTCTCTGGCGAGCTTCCTAGACTGCACACCGCCAGACATCAACCTACCGCGCCTGACTCGCGGCTTTCGGCCGACCGCGCGCGGTACCGTCATGTCCATGTCTTTTCCCAGCATTGCCCTGGACTCATCCCCGCCGTCGCCCCCGCCGCCGGGCGGCAACGCGCGCCAGTTGTGGCAAGCCGGCACGCTCACCTACACCGCGGCCGGCCTGGCCGTGCTGTTCGTCTGGCTGCTGTTCGGCGAGTTTGCGATGGCCATGCGCGAACGCGCCGCGGTCCCGAGCGTGATGGAGCTGCTGCGCCAGCACAACGCCTCCAGCACCACCATGTCCATCCTCGTCACCGCCTTTCCGGCGCTGATCTGGCTGATCCTGGTGCCCGCCGTCTCCTACCGCTCCGATCGCCACCGCGGCCCGCGCGGGCGGCGCCTCCCCTACCTGCTGCTGCCCACGCCCATCGGCGCCATGGCCATGATCGGCCTGGGCTGCTCGCCCTGGCTGGGCGGGCAGATCCACGGCGCGCTGGGCGCCGCGTCACCGGGGCTGAACTTCTGCGTCCTGGCGCTGTTCTGCCTGTTCTGGACGGTATTCG